TATAATTATATAATGAATATATTGCTACACTTACCATATTCTCCAGATCATAAACCTGATTATAATTTATCTTATTTTAACATTTGCTTCAAATGAGGTGATCAAAACTCAACTGAATCAGTTTGATACCAGCGAAGAGCAAAGATTAATGAACGTGAAATTATGCTACTAACAGATGTAATGACAAAATATATTGAATCGAAATGGAGAATATATATTACAAGTCAATAAAATTTTTATACACGATAAGAAAATCGTCTTTTATTTTTATAAAAAAAAAACATAATTACTTGTTGAACAATCTTTTATTTTTTTATGGGTTTTATTAATATTTATTTCGTCATCTAGAAATTGCACAAAGCCAGGCTCTGAGAAGACTTATCAAGGTACCATGGTACTTTAGGACGAATGACATCCTCAGAGACCTCAAGATTGATCCGGTCAAAAAATACATAAAGGATAGAGCCTTGAAATTATTTATGAAAATCTACAGACATCGCGTTATTGAATCTTAGAATGGTTACAGGCTCCTCGGGGAGGTATGAAGATCTGAGGTCAATTATTGTTTAGTCTGATGAAATGATAAACAATAACACAGTCAAGGCGTAAAGAGGGGTTTTAAAGATATCTCGTAGTTAATAGAGAGTAAAAGTGCTTAAGAGCACTGGCTCAAATAGCTTCAACATAATAATTAATATTTAGTTGTAAGATAGTGCAGCACATTTTTTACACATTTGTGTAAGTCATATTCCATATTTTACAAGATCATTGTTCATTTTAGCATAAATAGTAGAGTTGAGTTTTATTCTACAGAGCTCAGATATATTTTTCACCCATAAAAAAAATTGAATTGATTTAAATTTGGTAGCTCATGATTGGTAGTGTCCATAATCATGTGATCTGTTTTTGTTTGCATATAATAGTTTATGTATGTTTATATTGTTGGTTAATAAATAATATTCATCTTCTTATATTGTTTGCAGAATAGCCGTTCCCTCGAAATAAAAACCACTCTTTGCCTTTTTCTTAATACTCTTTAATAATTTGTACGTATACTAACTAAAACAAAATAAGATAATAATATATAATAAAAAACATGAAACAACCCTATCGTTATAGTGTTAAGTTTTCCAGAAGCTTTTTAAAGCAACTCTGTGGTTATAGTGTTAAGTTTTTCAGAAGCTTTTCAAAGCAACTCTGTCTTACACATGGTTAATCATGATTTAAGTTATTTACCTCCATTAATGCACAATACCACTGCATGGCATTTGCCGTAAAAACAGTGGCGTAACTACATTTTTTAGGCCTGTAAGCAAATTCTAACTAAGGGGCCCCTACCATCATACTAAGGGGCCCCTCTTTTTATACTCTTTATACGAAAAAATGTAAAAAGGGTATATAAGGTTTGTCAAGATTTTCGTAACGCATTAAAGGAAACTTCGGAAATACCATTAAGTATATATCAGTATACTTTTACAGTTCAAACTACTCTCTCAGCTTTTGAACTCTTCGAATGAAACTTTATACACATACTTATCGGGAGCGCACCCTGTTCACCATTTGATTTGATTGAAATTGGACGTCTATTTCTTGTAGCTGTGATATAAACTTAACAATCGGATATGAGGTTTCTCCGGTTTTAATAAAGGTATTCAAATGGAATTTGGTGTATACAGTACTGATATTTGCAAAAGACAACGTACAAAATTATTTTCAAATGGGTTTAAACTTAGATATAGCCTCCATATAAACTCTCGATTAAGACACATATTTTTCTTAGAAAAACTTTTTTATTTCATAAATAGGTTTAATATTTTATTTGAAGTACATACATATTATGTACTTTAAATTTAAAATTTACGTATCTTTTATAAAATGCAATATGAAGTTATTCCAACAAAAAACGTTTCGTCCCACTTTTGATAATTTATTAAAAAGAAATACAATGAATACAAAAATTTATAGTGGGGCCCCCTAAATTTGGGGGCCCGAAAGCGTTGCTTCCAGTTGCTTCCCTGTAGTTACGCCACTGCGTAAAAATAATGCGTTTACACCGATTGAGTATTTTATAAAGTAAATTAGGTAGTGAATACAGGCTATAAGGACATTTGCTTCAACAATTTTTTTATATGATATAAAATGCAAAAGTTTTGAAATCAAAAGCCACCCAGTACATATACACCACGTACATTTGAAAAAATAAATCATTGTTCATGACCTTATTACTGGCGCCCTTGGTGGTAGCATTTCGATTTTATTCATTTTTTAGGGAAATATTACCTGATCAATGCATAAACAGCACCCAAAAGTGCATTTTTGAAGCTCCATTAAAATATCGTTAAAAGACCTTAAATTATTTATATTAATAATGCCCTAAGTGTACAGCACTCTGTGAGCAATTTTATTTGAATATATATTTTAGATATATGCAAGTTAACAAAAAAAAAAAATTGGAAGCACATAAACTTCCCCAAAAAATTAGTTTTTTATTTGAATTATTGTGGGGCACAATAGATCCGACGGTTGCAGTGCCACAACCCCTAACAATAATAATTGAATCAATGTGAAAATGTATAGTCGTAAACAATTCTTGAATGCCGGAAAGTGGAAAGTACCGCTTAAGATTTCTGAGAACGAAATGGGAAGCAGCAGAAGAAGAGGGTGATCAAGAAAACGATGGAAAGACAGTATGCTGCAGGATTTAGAAAAAATGAACATAAGAAATTGGAAAAAAAGCAAAAAACAGAAAAGAAGGGAAGGATGTTGTTATACAGACCTACATGGACTGTATATTTACGGATGATAATGATCTAGTAAAAAGTTGGTGTTACTTAAAAGATTAGTAAACCGCTTTTTGAGTGTCGTTGTACTGAAAAAAAACCTATTATAAGGATACACTTTATTTTAAGTATTTATTTCGTAAAGTTTCGTATTGTTAAATGCGATATTAAGCATTCACACTGCTTATTTTTAATCCGGATACAAATAAAACTTTTTAATCCAATCATTTAGAAAACATTCCAGCTCATTTGAAATAAGAAAAATCACTATTGCATATGTAAATATCTTTATATGAATTATAATCAAATTACAGTACGTTCTCGGTTATTGCAACTCTCGATTTAAGCAATTTAAGCAAATAATTGCAACACTAAGAAACTTCAATGTAACCTTTATAAGTACAATGTCTCCAAAATAAAAAATACCTTAATAATTGCAATTTTTTTGCTTTGTACTGCAAAGTTCCATATATATTTTTGCTGTCGGTTAAGACAATTTGGCAAGAATACGACGTCAATAAATCGATGATATGCAGAATTAAAAAAAAGCAACATTGGATACCCAAACGGAGAGTATTGTAACAGCCAACGTTCCTGTTACTGTAGACATAATGAAAGCGAAAAGAAAGAAAGGGGCTGGATGTCCAATTTCAAAAGGCATTATGAAATTCGGCACTTAAAAATTTGTGGAGAAAAAGTTTCAATTCAAAATCTCTTAATACGTTTCTTGCCAGATTCACACAAATAATCTCTAAAATAAAGGAGCGGAATCTGTCCCTTTATCAAATTTATAACACGATGAGTCATGTTTGTTTTGATTGTTGAAATTGATAGTGAAGATGAGGAAAACGAAGGTGAAGTTGAACCCCCCGCAAAAAATTAAGGCAACAAATGCTATAAGTGCATACAATACGTGTATTCAGTGCGCCGAGGAGAATGAATGTAGGGACACTACTTGGTATTTTAGTTTTAAAAAAACTTAAAGAAGAAGTGGTGCTGAAAATTATTACTTGTTGAAGAAAGTAATTATTTATTACAGACATTTTTGTTGAAAAAAAGTTAAACTTGCATTTATACAATTCTTTATTATAAATGAATATGGATGGATATGGCATATAATAGATGAATATGTGTGTCCTAGGTTTATAAGACATACAATTTGAACAATAATTATAATGTAAGAATAAAAGAAATTTCAGTTACGTGGGTTTTTCTTCGGTAAGAATAATAGCTAGGTATTTGCAACAGCCTTGGTTTTCATTAGGTTGCAATAACCGAGCACGTACTGTACTTCGTGCTTTTCTGGTTCATTAAAAATAAACGGGGCTTAACACTTAAAAATAACAAAACAGATATTTCTGAAACACTTCTACCTAATGTAATAGGTAAATGTTTTAAGTAAATTTGGCTGTATAGGCAGTAAAAATATCGGATGTTCAAAAAAATCTTTATGGAAATTATTGCAAAAAAATATTATTCAAAATAATTTCTATTACAGATTATGAAAACACTTATACAGGCGAAATCTTGGCTAGGCCATTTTAGGCGAATAGTAGAAGATATCAATATAATCACAAAATTTATTTTTACCAGTAAAGCAGTATATTGTACTCATTTATCTATAAAGTATAAAAAATTAATGAACTCAATAACCAAAATAATGCTAAACATTGACAAAAAAAAAATCATTGATTTATTGAATTGATAACAACAAACTATTTATTTAACGTTATAATGTGATTCACATATAAATACAGATACAATGTAGAAAGCTTAATCAAATTTATGAAGCAGCCAATTCTGTTCGATTTTGTTCCCTCAATATAACTAAGCAAATAACTAACATTTGTGTCATTTCTCCCTTGTGTCGGTCATTAACCAATCAAAAAGCAGCATTTTGACATCAATTGCACGGGATTGGTCAGAACAATAAGATGTGTATTTCTGAATTGTGTGTTTTAAAAATGGAATGCTTTTTGGGAAAATGTGGGATGCTCTCTATTGTTTAGTGAAAATTTGATTTTAAAGAATTCAGTTTATCGTTGACTATGATTGAAAGTGTTTTGTACTCTCAAAATATGTCTGAATCGGTTTCGTTTTGTTTATAAAAAAATAGCAAAAGTTACGACAATTAATATACATGTTTATATATGATTGAAGTATATATAATAAAAAAATTTGTTGAAATTAAAGTTTATTAAACGAATAATATATATTAAACACAAAAATTATTAAAAATGTCGCGATACGAAGCGCAAATGTGCTCGGACTCAGCGCCGTTTTATAACAGTGAAACCAGTTACTACAATAGCATGCGACTTATGGACATGCCTTCAATGGATCGTAGGTGTATTTATATAACTAATTTTTCGAGCATCTCTATAATTGTCTCTATCAAAAATAATTAAATGGTGATATATAGAAAATTAATTAATATTGTTCATTTTTAATTGCTCAACATTTACACTTTTATCTGCTATCAGTATAGTCTTATAGTGCAAGCTTACAAAATTACTCGTATTAATTCTTTAAACATATCCTGTTTTGAGTGAATATAATATATATAATTCACTAATTTTGGAGACCATTTCAAAGACTTCTGTTAAATGTTCACGGGCTATAATAAACTGCTATACTCGTTCACTCTCGCTTATTTGGTGGTTTTATCGGTTAAGATTGCATCTATATAAGTGGAAATAAGCCAATGAAGAGCTACCTACCTCATACTCTAAAATTTAGTGTCTTCAAGCCATTCATTTTATACTGAGATATTTTTGAGCATGAAATGAGGAGGCAATATCAAAGAGACAATTATTTCATAATCTGTTATAATATTTTCATATATAACCGTTTAATCAAATTGTTAAGTACCCTTAAAATTTTCCCTCTTAGTCTAATTAATTTGTTTTTACAGTTACTTTATACCATTGCAATTAATCCGATCAATGTGCAAAAAATAAGCACGATTTTTTATACAAAATCTATACAAAAATATACTAATAAGCTTTGATAAGTGTAAATGCAATTGTAATGATTAGTCGGACCCAAGAATATATTGTACCAGTTGTAAAGTGTTCTTCAAAACAAGTAGTAATATTAATTTTACTTTTAAACCTAGTACTAATATTAATTTCGCACGAAAAATTGATGGTACTACTAGGCTTTATCAAGAAATTTACATAAAATTATGTATTGGAAAACAAATTTGTTTGATTAGTATGTTACGATTTAAATATATTGGTTTATCATACAATTTAGTGAAGATCTAATTTATTTAAAACCGATATGAGTGTAATTTTTGAATACAATATTTAACATGACTTACCTATTAAAATATTTATGTCCCATTACAGGAAATGTGCATTCGAATAGAAAACAAGGTTTTAGTTAAAAAATTTTTGAATCTAAAAAATTTAACTTTTAACGAATTAAATTTCGCTTGGCCATAGACCGCTTTTTGAATACCACCCAATATCCATCATGAATGATCTCTGAAAACATCTGTTACGTTAATTATTCAAACAAGTGTCTACACTTTGTCAAATTTGAGATATGACCTTACCTATTTTAATCATAAGAGTTTCGCAAACACATAGACATAGACAACTTAAAACAGGGTTCTCAATTATGGTATACTGATGGGCCAAAATGGAAGATAGTAGTACGGGAGCAGGAGTTATAGGACCGAAATTCCGCAAAGCAATGGCAATTTTGAAAAACTGCTTCCATTTTTCAGGCAGAGGTCCATGCCTTAGAGCTATGTGCAAGAGAATGAATACGAAGGGGCACCGAGGTACCAAAATATGCATCCTGTCAGACTCCCTAGCAAAGAAGGGTACATGTACTCCTTTCATTGGTCTAGAGCCCTTCTGCGGGGTAACAAATAGCTTCACAAATAGCTTATTATGTCATCTACTATAGCAAAAAACAGCTCGCAACAAAACAAAAATTAGTTATAGTTATAAGACGAAATTAAGACTTGTTAAAATCTGTATTAAAATAACATTTTTTGTCATTAGCCTAATACGTGTATATGAAGGAAGATAAGAATGACGATATCAAGTAGACATCTAATAACAGCTTGAACAAGAATATAAACTCTTTCACTATCATGACATCATTGTTGACAACAATGATGTCATGATGGTGAAAGAGTTTATATTCTTGTTCAAGCTGTTATTGTTGTAGAAAACTTTAATGCAAAGATGACTGAGGAAGGTATCTTAGATTCTACTGTCGAAAATTTTAGCATTCATGCAAAAACTTCTGATAATGAGGCTTATTGATTTTGATGCAACTGGAAACATAGTGATTTATAGCACCACATTCCAGCATTTCTATATATATAAGGCAACATGGCTATTCCCTAACCAAAAAACAAGACACGAAATCGATCATATTGCGATACATGTAAGACATGTCTTCAGCATCTTTTATGTACTTCCTATCCGAGAAGTCAACAAGAACTTAGATTGTAACCTTGTTACAGTCAAAATCCGTAAACATTTATGTATGCTGAGAATAGTGTTGAAAGCTTCGAAATGGCATTCGAAATATATATGATTATTTGAAGGCTTAGTAAGCTTGTTGTCACATAGCTGGCAAGAGCTCGCCCATAACTTAACGGATATTCGTCAAGATCTTTCAAAATGCATAGAAGTTTTGAGAATATGTAGTTAGGACTACACTAAAAGAGATCATACTTTGAAATCGAATGATTTTTCCAAAACAGTAGTTGTTCCATAGTTGTCGTATTGTTTTTGACATTGTTCTGTTGAAACTATGTACCTTCCACAACTATATCTACAATTTCATGCAAAAAGAATAGAATTTTGTATTCATATGATCTTAGCAATTAGAACGTAGCGTTCAAAATTGACGGCTTGTGTTCACATTAGCAAAAAAAGATTCCTGTCACATCGTCTTACTAAATATCACACAATTCTCTGACTTTTAATGGATGTAATGGTCATTCAACAGTCAGCGGTTATAATCCGATCCATATTATAAAAAGGCAAACCTTAATCAAGTGATACATTAGATCAGGGTTGTCCAGACCAAATAAGATCGCGAGTCAATTCAAATCACAGAATAGGTTGGAGGGCCGCAGAAATAAATGCCGGAGAAAAATAAAAATATGGCGATTAATTTATTTTTCACGATTTTATCAATAGCTACATCATTAGTATTAGTTGTTGCCATACAAAAAATATCTTATTGATGACTTTTGAACCAGTTGTACAAACAAATATATATTTAAGTCTTTGTCATTTTAATTAATTTATTTGGGATACTATTAAAATAAAAAAATCTATATATCAATTAATAACAAAGAAAAATTTGCCTAATTGTGAGATTAGAAACATGCCACGGGTCGTACAAAGAATAGCCGCGGGCCGCATGAGACCCGTGGGACGTGCTTTGGACAGCCAAGTACTAGATGATAGTTCTATCCAATATATGTTATTGACACAGTACAGTCACAATCATGAATTGAATATCCCTATATATCCGTATTCATCTTTTGCCTCTGATTCTTAGTTTTTTTTTTTTGAAGTGGTTCCATTTGTTATTGCTCACATCTAATAATATTTTATATATTGTATTTTAAACCAACAATTAGTCTCAATTTAGGTTGAAGGCTCAAAACTAGCCTTTAGTGAATACATTCTGCTAAAGTGACTTTAAGCGACCAGTATTTTAAAGAAAATGAAAATTCGTTATAGTTCATCTTTATGCAGTCTATTTACTTCCTCGTAGTGGTACGAGTTAAAGTACCTCTCAAGAAATAAGGTTTTTTACTTGGAGTACTGTAGCCAGGATTGTGTCAAGCTGAGAATATATTAGACAATATTTTATGAAAGTTTTTTACAGTTTTCTAAATTATTTAAGTATATAATTAAAGTTAAAGAATTTTGCAGTTTTGCTTAGAGATATATTCAAAAATATCTGAAGAAGTAATATACGCATTATGTTATTTTCAAGAGCACTCTATGCTTAAAAATTATAACTTATACTTATATTGATTCTTTTAAAAGTTGATAACGTTTTATTATTGAAATTCCAAGTCAGTAATAGAACTTAAATATAAAGATAAGGATATAGCAGAATTGTAAAGTTTTTGTTATCTTTAGATTTTATTATTAATCTCATACTTATTGTCTATCTCTCTGAATATGCCACTGTCTATTTGCCGTATTAACTAGCTTCATCGTTAATATTTGCTTCTAATGTTAGTTTATAGACTTAAATGCTACATTAAACTTATGACACTGCAGTTCACTTGGATGTTCATCATATAAGGAATTAATAGAAGTGGAGTGGTGAGTTTTGCACCAAAACTCCAACGATTATAAGTACTAGACACTATGTTGCAATTGTAGTGTCCGAGAGTGAACTTACTATTAATGCGGCACACTCTCGAAGGCACTCTTGAAGGAACTTTTTATGATTTTAAATCTGTCTTGCAAAAACTTCCTGTAACCCACTAGATACAGTACGTACAGAATTTCGTTATGGAACCCCCAATACTGGACATTAGTCTAGGCAGTGTTATGTCCACATTTACATTTCTATTGCACTCTTAGATGTTATTTGGAATGCATTAGAGCATTCTCAAAACTGGTAAAGTGGGTACAATGTTTGAAGGATTAAAAGCAGTAACACATTAATATTTAAGAGCGTTTCAAAGTAATGCAAAATGGCCTTATTCAGGTAATATATATTTACTTTATTAGTTATATTAGTATATTTACTTTATATAATATAGAAACAGGAATCTGTTACTAAACTTTAGAGTTAAATTAATAATCACCTGAAAAGATGTAACCACCAAAATTCACTAAAAAAGCAAATATCTCCTGATAAGATTTTAGTATTTTCGTATTTTCGAATGCTACATGACCATTTAGATAAGGTCCTATATCACAAATTGATCATTACGTTGATAAAATTGCATTTTAAATTGCTTCTTAATCTACATCAGTCCCCAAAACTAGCCTGCAGCGACGACATTCTGCTCGCAGATTTCAAAAGGATTCTTTAACTAATGGAATCTATTTTGAAGCCAAGATAAACCGTTCTGCAAATAGGCACCTGAATATTGAAGGAGGATTTGTTAAATATATCACGTTTAGAGGAGATAAAAAGAATTGGAAAAGTTTAATATACACAACAATTTTTAAAATTTATTCTCCTATCAAGTTGGATGAAATAATTCAAATTTCTCTTAGATTATAAAATAATAAAATTACAAAAAACAAAACTTTATTTTTAGAGTAAATAAATAAATAATTTTATTAATTCTTTTTAAACCCTCGACTCTTTTTTTTCAGATACTTGGAGTACATCCTATTGCACTGAAAACAATAATCAAGACTGTTGTCAAATAAATGGAGCATGTTTAAATAATAATCTTGTAACAAGTCACTTTTATCGATCACCCAGTTACTGTCCAGGATCTTCATCTGAAATAGAAGGTAAGTTAATATTTTTAAGATTTATAAAAAATTGTATCCACATCGAGAAGTAGTACTTGTATTTCTCTAATGAAACTAATGAAAGCACTAATGAAAATGAAGATGAAGATGTGTACTATTGACTTTGTTGATGAGAAGCTGTAGAGAACTCAATTTAATTACAAATTCAAAGACATATTCTTTCCATTACATACATAGATGTATTTGTACAATTATCTATTCCATCTTCTTAAAATATTCAGTAGTTTTGAGAATTAAGCCGCTTTGTTTACTTCGTAACTAGTAAATGAGTATTTAAACTGTTTGGAGTCAATATTTTTTCAAATTCGTCTAGCGATGAATTTCACTTTTGTTTCACTACCTTGTCAGTTGTCGACACAAACTCATTTATGAACTGATAGAACCTTCAGATTACACTTCTTCAATAACGAAGAAAATATATATGCTATATTAAATGATTAGTTGCTTGTAAATGTTCGTCAAGATGGTCATAAAGGTCTTAAAGGTTTCAACTGGATGGTGCTACATGTAATAACCTTAAGTGCAACCATCAACATATTAAAGAGGAATTTGATAACAAATTCTTCAGAAACGAACCATTGCCTGTCCACTATGATCATCCGATTGACGTTACTGAACAACTTTCTATGGATGTACTTGAAATCGTTCATTCTAATACATTTATTAAAATGATTCTCGAATATATGGATTCGATCTGTGTAGTGATTTTTTGGATATTACACTAAATACTTCTTTATACTACTTTCAAAATTATTAACCAATTTTTTTTGCTGATGAGACCTTCTTGCCTTCTTACTAAAACAACGTCCAATAATTATTATTTCTATTTCTGTTGTGAGTCTATGCATTTGATCTGTGGTAGAATGTTTGTAACAAAATCCAAATTGTTAAGAAGGGATCTGGTTATGAGAGTAAAAAATTAGTTTTGTCTACAGTTTTAATATTGGCAACAGAAGGGAGATTTGTCGGTATGAAGAAACAATGTCTCCGACTTCTTCTAGTTTAGCTATCATATCAGCAACTTTCCACATGATTGGAATATTTTGAAGATGGATGTATGAATGAAATAATTTATCCAATTTGAATAGATATAGGACAGCAAGCTGTTATTGTACTTCTGCTTTGATTGATGTAATTAAAGACTGTCGCTTTATTGCTTGTAAGTTGTTTAATTTTTTATTTTAAGTCGCTTATGATTATTTGCGGAATGGTGTAAGTCTCATACTCTGAAGATATAGATATTTTTAAAATGCTGATATTTTTGTACATTTCTAAAGAAAGAAGTCACCTTTTCTGTCAGCTGTTATTTCTGTTAGATAACATTTCATTGTTTCATTTTTGATAGTCTTTACGTGGATCGTCTTCAGAGCTTGTACTATCATTTTTAAGTAACTGTTGTAAGTGGGTTATAAGTCATTGTTTTGCAAGTAGCAGATTCCCCTATTTACTATTTTTGTATAAATTTTCATTTCTTTATATACGCATAGATTTGATATTTCACGATATTAAATTTTTTCCACTATTGCAAACAACACTAAGAAGTCCTCTTTATACGGAATACAAATAAAAGATGAGTTGGTATATGGAACTGAGGTTTGAGATATCTGCTTATGAAAAATAAAACTATACAAAATTCCATTAAGGTTTTAGTTTTAATATTGATGAGTAGATAGCGCTTTCCGATCTAATTAAACATCCAATGAAACACATTTCATAGGGATTGAAATAATCTATTATTTCTTAATTGAATATACATTTATAAATTGAGGGTCCTCTATTTAGTATAAAAACTAAACGAGAATTTTTTCCACTTAATTGAATTATATTTTATAATATTATTCAAATCAAAAAAACTTTTATATTAGTCTAGGATCTTTTTGTGGTCTAGGCAAAGGAACTCTATCCATTCTTATAAACGACAAAGAGGAAAAAGAAAGAGGACTCTATTGGGAAAGGCTATCAATCTTTAAAGGTTGAATAGAATAATCAATGATTACGGGATTATTGACCGGTCACTGTAGGTTAAATAATCACCTAATAAAGTTAGGTATTCAATCCAACTCAGACTGCAGATACTGTAGAGAAGAGGGAGAAACTGCGTACCATGTGCTTGGGGAGTACCCGGCACTAATGCACAAGCGGAAGAAACACCTAGGAGGGTATTTCATAGATTATAAGGGTTCAAGACTAGCAAAGATGGGCTCTATACTGTATTTCATTAAAGAAATTTGACTTGGAGAAATACTCTATTCTAACTAAGGAGCTTAATAGATCGTTTAGGTCACAGTGTACTACCCCTTTTCAGAATAATAATAACTTTTACATTAAGTCAACTAAATGTAGTCGAAGTTATAATGCAAAAGTTGATGAACTTTTCCAAATAGCTGAATGAACTGCACACGAGCATTATTATTAACGTTACGAAACTAAATAAAGGATTATTGACTTTGTGGTCTGATAATTCTATAGTATGATCTTTCTATAGTGTGTACATTTTATGTAGTATGAGAAGACTAGTTAGAGAAGTCGTTAGAATCATTCATCTGAATGGAGTAAAAACAAAATTGTGAAAAAATTTGAATACATTTGTAACGTATATGCTAAGATCAGACATTTTATTTTAAAATATACGCTCGGTGAAAAATGTTGCCTTTGTTACGAAGGCTATCTTCACTCTGCGATGTCACTGACTGTCATCGCGGCTTCTTGTAAAACAGCAAACTAAAATAGTAGCAAACAGACTCAATGCTCTCTCCTGCTGGTCAAGAATTGATATAGGGCACGCAATCATACTGAACCAGGATCTAAGAGCACCCTTTTCAATTCACTACATGTGTTCTTACCCAGACCCAAATCAAGGGGTGTAAATCTCTTATACCTAGTATGAAAGACTGGATCCTTGAAAGAGTAGTTTCTCCCAACATGATAGACATTTACACAGACGGCTCCAAAATAGACGAATGAGTCAGCTGTGGCTTTTTCCCGGAAAGATTAGGTCTTAGTTTCTTGTTTCACCTGCCAAATTACTGTAGCGTTTTCCAGGCAGAAGTAATGGTAATCTATTATGCTGTAATTCATTATGCTGTCCTTGGAAATCGAACTTCCGATGTAAATTATTCAATCTTCTCGGATAGCCAAACTGCCATTAAATCACTGATAAACACCTCAGTCACATCAATTATCACTCAAAATTGCCATGCTTCTCTCAATGACATAGCTAGGTGCGTTAACGTGCAATTCATCTGTGTTCCTGGTCATAGCGATATCGCGGGCAACTATAGGGTAGATAAGCTTGCTAAGGCAGGGGCTCTTCTCCCTGCCTTATATCTGATATCCACTTATCAGATATTGACGTTTTATTTGCAACACCTAAGCTGGCAATTAAACAAAAATATCTAAACATTGCCAAGCAACATTGGGCTAATAAGCCCAGTTGTCAGATTTCTAGGTCGATCTGGTCTAATTTGAGTCAGCTACTCCAACTGAAACAGAATCTGCTCAGCACTACGGTATCGATGCTGACAGGTCACTGCTTAATAGAGAGGTATGCTATGAGACTAGATATTCCTCAGAATAACCTTTGTTGCGGTTGTGACCCTGAAGACGGGGAGGAAACTGTGGTCCATCTTATGTGTCAGTACCCATATTTAGCTAGGAGAAGACCAAAAATCTTGGAGGCCCCTTTTCTAACCTGGTCAGATTCATAGAATTCTCGGATTGATTTTCCTTCACCTTAATAGGGAAGTCAATGCCTGTTTTCGGCATTGGACGTATACACCTTGTCCATGTATGAACCAACGCTCTTCCTGTGGTAGCACAACGGGCCATTATTTGAGCTCAAGTGGGCTTTTTTGGTACACAAAGCCGCCACTCTAACCTAACCTAACCTAACTAAAGATGCTATAAATCTTGCATTTTTGGTGCAGCGTGTACTTGTAAAGAAGCCATTTTCTATTAATTTTCTGTTATTCAAAACCAATAAATTAACAAACGATTTTTATAAAATTTATATACTTATTCATATTTTCTTAATAATGTACATATTATTACAACGCTGAACTATATTTATATTTGCGATGTGGAAGAGGTGCAATACTGCTGTGACCTTTCAAATGAAATGATTTACTTCTGATTAAGTAAACATTTAACTCAATTGAGAACTATAAAAAAATTAGCAAAATAAATTCATAAATATTTATACACTTCTTTGTTTTTAAACAAAATAGATGTGGAAAAACATTTCCATGATGGCTTGTTTACACATGCACCAGTTAAAACTATTCCCATGCCTGCTGTTCGGGTTATAAAAAAGCGCAACACAGCAAATAAAAAGGAAAGACGAAGAACACAAAGCATCAATAATGCATTTTCTTGTTTACGTGAGAAGATACCGAATGTACCATCCGATACTAAATTATCTAAGGTAGGTCTAAGTTTATTTAGTAAACATTTTCATTTCTTTCTGCTTATATCATATTCTCTTCTCTTATTTACAACCTCGAATTATAGTATCTTAATTATCTTTTTTCTATGACAATAAATATATTCAAAAATTTCATTTTTGAGTGAAACCCAATAAATATGAGTTTATTAGACGAAATATAGTGCAAAATAATCCACATATGTTAACTGTTTACATTTACACTTACTTGTGAAAACTAGTTCAATCAAACCAACTTTTGTCAAATCTAAATTATATTGCACATAATTGTATTATTGGTACCGATCAATAATATATATATGTTATTCATATTGTGGTTTGTTACCATTCTGTATCATATGCCAGTATTAAAAGTTAACGCAATGGATGATAGATTTTAATTTTTAGACTGATTTGTTTTCTTAAATACTTTCCCAGAATTTCAATCTAGATCTCATTAAAATGAACTAAATTATTTAATAACCTAGGATCGGGATCAATAAAAACCCTAATATGTCAACAATAAAAGCATAGATCACGTTAGATTTAGAGCGCGAGTCTGTGACAAATTTGAAATCTATCTCCATTATTTTAACTAATTTATTTTTTTCTATTAATTTAATGAGAATTTAGATATAAATTCTTGATAGCTCTTCGGGGTATTCATAGCTAAACATTTGCAAAATAAATGAGCGCTTGATGATTGTTTCTCTTATCAGTTAGAACTCTAAGTCTCTCTAAGGAGTGGCTTCCGTTCGCATAACTACATCTTTTGTTAATGCAAGCATCTCATTTAGCTTGAGGTTTCCTGCCAAGTCCCAAAACAGTCTTCTTCCTACTTGCCAGTGCTGGACATTGGCACAATATATGCACCGTTATCTCCTTTTCTTCTAGACATAGTCTGCAAGTGTCTTCCTCAGCAAGAGTTATCTTTTTGAGGTGATACTTGAAGTTGCCATGTCCAGTAATTAGTGAGGCCAGCCAGCGTAGGGTGCTCCGCGAATAGCTAAGCACTTTTATCGCTTCTCTGGCCCACGGTTTAGGTAACATGAGTTTGGTCTGTCTACAAGTGCTGAACTCTCTCCATCTATTAAGATGAAGTGAGATTATCCACTTATAGACATAGGCTACCCTTTTACTATAATCTTATAGAAATCTTATATTACAAATTAACATTATTTATAAAATATATTACATACAATTAAGGAATATAAAATATTTTCAATAATTTTATTTTTTTTCATTTCAGATAAAAACTCTAAAACTTGCTATATTATACATAAAATATTTAGTTGAAGTTTTGGATGGTGATCAGGATCCTAAAACTGGATTTCGAGCAGATCTTAAGCCATTGCACCGAAAAAATTCCAATGAAAAAAGAGCATATTTAAAAAATGATATAAAGGTAATTATATCTAAGACACTATCTTTTTAAACATTTAAAGATCGAAATTCACTAAATGTTCTTACTGGATGTTTCTTCTTTTTGATAAATACTCCAGAGAACCATTACTTGTTTTAATTTCAACATTGATATGAGTAAGTGTAGTCTGGTTAATCAGACTAACATAAAATGTACAAAATCAAAATACCATTTTCGGGAATAATATAAATATATATACAGGGTTAGGCGATTGAAGTGTTACCAACTACACACAGGTATATCTGTCCAACTGGTATTGCCAACTGCGTGAAATTCATACGAATAGCAGTTATTTATATTGTTTACAAGCTACCACAAGCATAGATTAGATTTAGATTAGCAGTTTTTATAAAATAAAAGTTTTTCGAAATGGAATGCAAAAGTAATAGAGTGATTGCGTTATATTTGGCTGGAAAATCACAATCACAACCAGCTATTGTTCGTGAGCTCAAATACCTCAAAGTTAATAAAATGTTTATGAATCGTACCATAAATAGTTATAATAGGTAGCATCGCCAAACCCTATGGTGGTGGACAAAAAAAAACTGATATCACCTGAAATGGTTCGAAAAGTGAAGGTTTGAGTTAAACGAAAGCCATGTCAAATGGTCAAGAAACTGAATATATCACAGCAAAGCTTCAGACGCATATTCCAAAATGAACTCAAGGTAAAGGCTTACAAGCTCCAAAAGGCACAAGATCTTTCACTAAAGCAACAAAAAGTTAGACTCGAAATAGCAAATCAGTTGTGGCGAATTTCCAACATTGTTTTCTCTGATGAGAAAAATTTCCCCATCAAGCAGTTCATAATGATCGTGTTTACTTAATTGAACGCACTGTCGTTCAATGCTTCCCTGCGGAGAGGGGAAAAGAGTACTCCCGCGGTTAGGATGGCCTGTCGTAAGAGGCGACTAATATACCCCAGCAGTGGCGGAGCTAGACCAACTCTGGACGTCGGCGACATTAGAATTGCGAGGCCCCTTTTATAATCCAGTTGTAAAAGTAAATAAGTTACATTCACTAATATGACAAAGCATGATTGATAGTTTTATTGCAAATCAAATTAACATAAACACAAATTATAATAAATGAATTTTCCAACTTTTAGCTTCACTCAATTTTTTTTTAAATTATATTATAATTTGCGCCATCTGCTATTTTTACTTCAGTTTATAGAATTTCCAATGGAGATAGTCTCTCTTGGATCATCATACTTTTCTAGTACGTCTTAATCAATTTTAACTATGAGAAGCTTCTTTCCGTCGAAACTATACTGACTGGAACTGTGAACATGAAACTGGTTACTATATAAACATTCGGAAATATTTCGAATATGGTTAATGCCATCATCAAACCAAATTGTTCAAAATATTTATTATGTGCTTAGAATCCACAGTCGGTAACTTTTTGCGAGGCCCCTATGGGCGTGAGGCCGTCGGTGGTCGCCGACATCGCTGACGCCTAGCGACGCCACTGTCCCCCAGTGCCAGTCTGGCACTTATGCAAAAAGTGCAAATGGTAGTGAATTGTGGGCGGCAACTTGCGACATCTGACCAGAGATGAGATGCTATCTGGTACCTCGGGGGTCAGTGGCCCGACAGTTTCGGCTGTACTGACCATTGGTGTTGGCTTCGAAGTGGCTGTGGTTAATACCCAAACTTACGCGGGAAGAATGTTTTGCTTGTCATTCATTCGCCGTGGTGTGCGTTTCAAACCGGGTGCTGCAGCCCAAATTGTAGCAGAGGTCAGTAGGTAGGCCTCGCATCTTACCAAGGTGGAAGTTATAATTGGTATTCATTGGTACCGGCGGAATAAAGCAGGCTATTCCAATGGGGGGTTGATTGACGCTTAATTTAATACGTGCGTTAAGAGCACTGTGATGTTGAGCCTTGATAGCAGAAAATCACGTAAAACATATAGAGACTTCTGTCGCTCAATGCCTCAAATTTGAGCTGCGAATGGCCACTTGAAGAAATTTTCCATCTCAAGTAATGGTATGAGCAACTGTGACCTCCGCACAGTTTGCCAAAATAGAAGTTGGCCAATCATAGATATTTTCTGAGTCAGTAAAGATATTAAAATGGCACACAGTGCAACGATAAACGCTTTCCAATCGTTTTCATCAAGCCTGGCGTCAAAATCAATGCGACTTGTCTTTGGAAAAATGATTTGGGAATTGCTTTAGAGCCGTGGGCACTTAAACATTTCGGTCGTAGACTATGGACGTTCCAACAACACTCGACACCGTCTCTTAAAGCTCGTGTGAGCCAAGAATGGTTAAAAAATCATGTTCCACGCTTTATTTCGTTGTGTGGCTTTCGAATTTGCCAGTTGCAAATTCTTAAATACCAGAAGATCACATTCATGAAGCATGCAGTTCAATTTTTAACCGTTTGACGGTCATAGTCAAGGCAAAAAGTGGTCACATCGAGAATGGATTTTGAAATTTTGATTATTTTCCAAATTTTTGTGATTTGATTCAATAAAAAATAATTTCACACAAAAAAGATATGGTCGCTTGAATAGATAACACTTCAATCGCCTAAATCTGTATATATCTGCATAAAGTTCTATTAACAATGTTAATGTATATATTTGCAGATATGCAAATATGTATTAACATATATACTATTAACAAGTGTAAGTAGGAAATATAAATGCTTAAATATTTCGAAATGTAATAATTTATAAACAAACTTGCACTTCTGCAGAAATTTTTTTCTCATTGAAAAAAGCATACGTATGTATATATACATATGTATGTGCAAACATTCAACCAAATATAATTTAGATACAAAAGAACAAAAGGTTATTTTTGACATTAAACAGATCAAATTATAATCTGAAGTTCATAAAAACTTGAGGCAAACAAAGTGCCTTGCGCACAAATCCCATTAAGAATCACTTAAGTAAATTGTATCGCACTTGTTTTTATTGCCTCGTTCTGTTGTTCTTTTACCATGTATTCGAACAAGTCTATTCGAAACCGCAATTCGATTGTGTGTTGTGCGTAATTCGTGTAATTGGGTGAAGTGTCACAACCGGGCAATTTTCTATTCACGTATAATTATTAACGCTGTGGGAAGAAGGGGTGGAGTAGTGTTGTGTACAACTTGAAGGGTAATGTTCCGTAAAGTGCATGTTTTTATTTTATGTTTAATTTTATTAGATAAGCAGTGTATAGTAACAAAGAAATGATATATCTTTCCAGTTTTGTAATTCAAAAAACTCTTTATGGATAACTATTCACAGAGCTTGCTTGCTTTGGGTACGTAAATTAAAACTTATCCAATGTCATATGAACAAGAAAATAAAATGATGAGATAAAGATTTAATATTGATTTAATGAATTTAGTATGTGAGGTCGCACCATTTTATAAAAAAAGGTTTCTTGAATTTATATACAATACACATATAAATTTTATAAACTCAGTTACCCAAATTGTTTTTGAGGATATTGTTTCAAGGCTGTCCAAGGACAATGTCAGTATCACTATACAATCATATAAATAGTGATGCAAACTAAATATATTGTACATACTAAATGGATATTAAAAATAAGATAACAATTAGCAAATACAGTATAAAAGCATATTTTTTCCAAAAGGTGGACACTATCCAAAACAGAGCACCACTAAACTGAAAAAAAATCTATATGATAACATTACAACGTTTTAGACCAGCTGTCAAATAAAATACTTCTAGTATAAATGGATTTCTTTTAGATATGCTTTCGATTTTCTCCGTCTGCAAGTATATGATTGAATAATTAAGCATATCTAGCAAAATCACAAAGAACCTATCATATTTAGATATTCATAATCTGTTACATCTTGAGAAGTTTGAGCAATGTATAATCTTGTTATTGTCACAATTCAGAATTCTTTTGAATTTACTTGTGTTAAAGCTATCAGAGAAATTGTCGCCTGGATTAAAAAGCAAAATATTTCACGTAAATATTTTACTATTCTACAAACCTAGTAAAATTTTTTTTTATATCTTGCTTTGTCAAAAAAGAAATGAATTGAAACAAAAGTTTGGCCAACTATATTGGATATTGGTATATAAAATGGTAATTATGCTACTAATTTAATATGGCATCGAGTTTTGGGGTACTACCTCAAAATCTAACACTCAAACTATTCAAATGCAACAATCAAAAATATTAAGGACCATTGTCAATGCTGATTGATATATATCAAACAACGAAATTCATAAAGACTTTGGCGTTGAGCTAATAACCGAGGTAATAGAGGCGTCTAGTGCAAAGCCCAAAACTCGACTACTTACACATGAAAACACGGAACTCTAGATATTACGGATGAAAAAATCAGCTCACACCAGAACAATCAAACGCTTACTCCCAACAGACTTGCTAAATATTATGATCTTATTTGAAAATTGTTATATATGTTTCTTAATTTACCCATTGGAAAAATTGTATTTATTGAATATTGATTTGATATTACGTGTTATCCCTTTGTACTAAAATAATACTAAATCCAAATTTAAATAAATATAAAAATAAAAAAAATACACCTTACTTTGTTAGATAGAATAATACATTCATTAATAATGGCTGTTCAAGTGAGTAATGAAAAAATGGGGTTCTTCTTCGATTTTTTGATTTTATTATAAGGAACTTGCAGAAAATTTTCAAAGACGAACAAATAATGAAAATAAAGAACTACTAAGAAATGAAAATATAGTGAGATACATTAAGTCGCAAAGACTACAATTGGCTGCTTATGTGGGAAGAATGGGACCGGAGTGAAAGCCGAACAGCATATGCAACGCAAAACTGTTGACAACCAGGCACAGAGATAGACCAAGAACAAGATGGGATGAGTACATGAGAGTATAGAGAGTAGCAGAAGATCAGGCAGATGGGGGTAAATCGTGAGGTACACACTGAACTGTAGTTCCAAATAAGAAGAAGAAGACCTTTTTTTTAGTAAATAAATATATATAATAGTAGATAT